TGTTTGCAGAGTGATACCTGAGCCGAGAGCATCCCCATCGATGCTGTTAGCATCTTTCCCCAGAATCCTCCTCCGATTCCTCATCCAAAACAAAACAAAAACAAACACAGAAAACAAATGCTGGTGGTGGAAGGAGGTCTGGACACATCTGGTTTGGCTGTGACAGGAAGACGAGTCACAACAAAGAATACTGGAACATACCATCTGAATGTAAGACAGCTGAGCACTATGTTTGGAAACCTGAGACAGGCTAAGCTGCCAGACGTCCTTGGCTGAGGCTTAGGCAAACTAGATCACAGGCAATTAGACTCTAATACCCAGGCCAGGCAAGCAAATATCAATAATCACATTACCTTGACACAAACGGTCTCTTCTTGGTCTAACCCTCTCTCCTATGCTGCATTATTTTTCTTGGTGGGGGAAGGTTTGGAAAAACGTATTCACCTAGGGTGCTGATGACAGAGCAAAGAAATCACTCAAGTGTAGCTTGGTGAACCAACGAGTTTACTGGGGTTATTAAGAGAAGCATAGGTAGGTCTCCGGCAAATGCACCACCGAAGAGCCCACTGTGGCGTGGGCAACGTCTCACAAAAATCCTCCATCCTCCATTGGACTCTTGGTCTCTGTGAAATTAATTATTTGTATGTAGGTAGGAATAGTTCATTTACCAAAACACCAAATATAGAAGTCATTTCCTGAGAGAGAAAAAGAATTATTTATGAGGAAGTGGACAAAATGAAACATGCTTAAATCAAAGCTGAAAGGGTGCTGAGATGAAAGCAAGAAATAAATTTTATAAAATAAGTATATTTTATTATCTGACATGGCTGTAACTACTCAGCTGAGCATTACTGGTCCTCATGTTCTCACTCTTCCTGCTCCATACAGACGACATCCAGTAGAGAAGTCAAGGACTTGAGGAACAATGGGGCCTCTGGCTTCTTTTTGAAGATTTCATGTATTTTATGTATGTGTACAAGTGTTTTGCCTGCATGTATGTCTGTGCATCACATGCACACCTGGTTCCCTCAGGGGCCAGAAGAGGGCACCAGATTCCCTAGAACTGAAGTTGTGAGCTTCCAGGTGGGTGCTGGGAACTGACCCCAGGTCCTCTGCATAAACAGCAAGAGTTCTTAACTGCTGAGCTATCTCTGTAGCTCCATTATTGATCTTTTAATGGTTGTGTGACACAGGCCACTCTATCTCTTCTCTAGATTGTGACATGAGCCGCTGAAATTTAGCATTTTTTAAATTCTTCTATTAGAATAAGCTGTTCCTTGTGTTCTATGTCTCCTTGACTGATTGTTTTAGCTAATAGTGATCATAGAGAAAACCGGCTGGACATATTGAATAAAATTTGGATGAACTCCTACTAAGGTATACTAAGGCTATTAAGAGTCTCAATTAGGGGAGGGAAATGGAGAGGGACCTGGAACTGACTTGTGAAGCAACCTTGTTTCTAATCTAAATTTAAATTTAAAAATAAATAATAAAAAAAGAAGAAGAAAAAGAGTCTCAATTAGGCTGGGTAGAGGTAGCGTACACCTTTAATCCCAGAACTTGGGAGGCAGAGGCAGGTGGATCTTTGTGAATTCGAGACCAGCCTGGTCTACAGAGTGAGTTCCAGGACAGCCAGGGCTACACAGAGAAACCCTGTCTCAAAAATAAAAATCCCTGCATTAGAATGTTCACTTCCAATAATCAGTTAACCACATAAATACTGAAATTATCTGACAGTGACAGGACCTGGGGATGGAGAAAAATATACTGAAGTGAAGCAGGTGTCAAAATTTCATTTGGAAGATGAAGAAATTGAGAATGATGAAAGTAGGCCAGGAAGCCGGGTATGGTGGCAAATACTGGAAATTCCAGAAGGATGGCAAGTTCAAGCCTGGTCCATGTAGCAAGTTGCTTTAGACTAGAATAGGTTAAAATGGCTGAATATTAGAAACGTTCTATCATTCAACTTAATTCCACTTGCTCGGGACACAAACCTAAACAGTGAGACAACTTACTTTCATGTCACAGGAAGTCTCAAGGGTGGGACAGCTTGAGACTTGGTTAATTCAGTGACTCCCTCTGCCTGGTCACTAGCCTGAGTTCTCCCCATCCTGTCCTCTACCAGTCTCAGCATGCCAGCTTCATTGTTGGGCAAACTCAGCTCCACTCATGGAATCAAGATGCTGTTGGCTGATTTGGGAATCACACTCAGCCATGGCAGCATACAGCAAAAAGTAATTTCTTCCTGTGCCTCACTATTTTTGTTTGTTTTGTTTTGTATTTTGTTTTTTGAGACAGGGTTTCTCTGTATAGCCTTGGCTATGCTGGAATCCGATCCACAGACCAGGCTGGCCTCAAACTCACAGAGATCCACCTGCCTCTGCCTCCTGAGTGCTGGGATTAAAGTTATGCACCACCACAGTCTAGCAATAAGTGTTATTTTAAAGAAATCTAGGATAGTCTATCAAACAAGCTAAAGGAAAGAGATTTTGTACTATGGGTTGCTTAGCTAAAGGTGTCAGAGCCTCAGAGGATCCAGGAATAATGGTGGCAAGGGGACTGGAACAGCTGGAAAGAAGTGGGGACAAGAGTCACTCCTGAGCCCTTCTCCACCACTGACAACAGCACTGTTGATGTGTGACCGAGGATTTGGTTTGCTCAATTATTAATTGGGAAAATCTCATCTGGAAAAAGTCAAGGCTGACACTTCTTCCTTGCCTAGCCAGAACACTTAGGATGCTGGGCTGAAACCGTGGAGAGGGGGTATGTAGCCTGGAGGCTTGTTGCTGAGGGAGGCTATGGCTCAAGGGAGCCCAGGAAAGCAGGGGAAATGATGAGCCTGGCATCTGCTCCATCTAGAGAATGATTCAGTTTTAAGGGAGTACGTTAAATATACAGCAAACAAAAAGTGAGAGACAAATAGCATGGCAGAGCTTCAGATCTGACACTTCATCACCTGGCAGAGCAGCCCAAGAAGCCCAAGAAAAGCCGGGTGTTGGTGGCACACGCCTTTAATCCCAGCACTCGGGAGGCAGAAGCAGGCGGATCTCTGTGAGTTCAAGGCCAGCCTGGTCAGAGTGAGTTCCAGGACAGCCTCCAAAACAATACAGAGAAACCCTGTCTCGAAAAACCAAAAAAAAAAAAAAAAAAAAAAAAAAAAAGAAGCCCAAGAAAACCGCCAGCCGGAGTACCTGATTTATAACAAGAAAACCACCAGCCGGAGTACCTGATTTATAACAAGGTCCCAGGCAGAACGCCTTCCTTTCAGGTGAGACTTCCAACTAGCTGTTCCCACAAGCATTTTCATATTATGTGATTACCTTCCGGCTGTTCTGAAGGGCACAGTGTTTGATCAGCTGACTCACCCTCATGTTCTCAGGGGCATCATGTTCTCATTCAGGTTGTTTTGTGGTCCTCTTATCTCCTTGACACAAGGCCAGCCTGTCCTGGACCATGAGTTTGGACACTTTGTGACAAACATGACTGGGTCTGAAATGGAGGAAAAACTACTTTGCATTCAGAGCCAGCTTCAAACTTAAACAGCATACGACAATATACAAACATAGTTTCCATTACAGCATCTAATGCTGACTTCAGTGTGAGCATGATGGCCTGAGTGGGGGATCCAGAGCGGCTAGCTAGCTTCTTGCAGCCCACACACGGCTTTGCCCCCTTGTGCCTCTATGTAACCCCCTCTGACATATATGTAAACCCCACCTCAAGTTTGTCCCCTGCATCACTGTCCCACTGTATCTTTTAAATCTCTTAGGCCTGCAAATGTGCCTGGCACTCACGTGTGAACCTACACACACACACTCACACACACACTCACACACACACACACACACACTCACACACACACACACACTCGCATGTGTTAGTATTCAGGCATCCGTACTGGCCTGTCCTTAGGGTTCTGACAGGATATGCCCTCAGCTGCAGCCACTAAGAGCACCACCTGTGCATATTCACTATGTTCCCTTTTAAAAGGGCCCTGCCCCCTCCCATCCTCCTCTCTCTCTGCTTCTCTGTTTCTTTCTCTCTCTGTCTCTCTGTCTGTCTCTGTCTCTCTGTGTGTGTCTCTGTTTCTCTCTCTATCTCTCTCTGTCTCTCTCTCTCTCCGTGTGTGTGTGTGTGTGTGTGTGTGTGTGTCTTTTCTCTTCTGCTGCTCCTGTCTCCAGAAGCCAGTCTCCCTCCTTACCTCCCCCCTTTTTCCATTCACTTTCCCCCAATAAAAAAACCCTCCAATGAGCTCTGTCTAATAACATCTTTCTCTCGAGCAACACTTTTTAAATTACAATATGCACTCACACACACACACTTTACACAAAGAGACAGAGAGAGAATTAACAATAAAAGATTTTAAAGTCTACTTCCATGAGCAAGAGAATAAGTGTGGATAATGGGGATAAGTATGATCTAAGTACTTGATTTACATGTGTGAAAATGTCATAAATAAATCCATTATTTTGTACAATTGATATATATGAATAAAATTTAAAGGCTATGTTGTATTGAAGAAAAGAGAATTATCACCAGATGCCCTGTGGATGCCTCAGATCTGGGATCTATAAACATGGCTTCTTGGGCCAGTGGGTTGTAACATTAGCCATGTCTGCCCACCTTTTCTGGGTGACCTTCAGCAAGGAGGTCATGAGGACCACAACACAGGACAGGGGAGCCAGAGGGAATGAAAGTCATAAGTTTAGGGAGATGGATTAGTAGGGGCCTGAAACTCTTTTTATATCTCTGTCATAATCTGTGGTGGAGCTAAATGGCTCTGTGTTTTAAGCTGCACCTCTCACATCTCATAATATAACACTGGCATTGGAAGAAACCTGGGTGAATCCCTAGCTTGGCCATCTTAGTTTGTATCCAGACATAGTATTCTAAGAAAGTTCTGAATGTATGTGTGAGTGGCTCAGTAAGGTAACATATGAATCACTAGACTGATTTTCTTTCTTCCATTTCTCCCTGAGAAAATAAATAAGGCAATGAGATGAACACAAATCTTTATTTCTCTAAAAACTGAGGTAAAAAGAATGGTTTAGAGAGGAAAAATCTACAGTGGTGGAAAATGGGCAGGCCCAGCTTCATGCAATGGCGCCAGGGTGCTCAAAGGAAAACGTGATGTTTGGCCAAAGTGAGCTACTTCTTCCCGAGTTGGCCAAGACATCAGTGACTTAGCGTTTCATTTCAAAGAGAAAAGAGGCCACTCTAGACTTTGAGGCTGTCGTTCATAGAAATGTGCGATGCTGGTGCTCCCGTGACCACGGAAGTGGGTGTTCACGGTGCTGATGAGGAAACTGACCCAATTTCCTAGGTTCCTTGCCCACTCCCATGTCCAGCCTGGAATCTATGCAGACCTCTTACCCCAGAGAGTTGTGGGTTCTCTAAGTCTTTGAGGGGAATGGTCTATAGGTGTGAATATCACTCTGCACTATGGCCCTGCCTCACAAGAACATCATGTGTATAAAGGGTTCTAGAAGGTTCTGAGTAGGCAGGAGTCACAACAGCAGGCCAGGAGATAATCCTTTCCGGTTGACCTTGTCTTTGGTCCTCTTTCATTACGGCATGGTTTGGGCTCGAAAAGGCTATGTTCTTCCAGCCAACTATTCCCACTGGATTCCTAGAAGCTCACAACTGACATTCCACAGACGCTCAGCTGTTTTCTTACTCCGGGCTCTTGGGGACACCCAGGTCCTCTTGCAGTCACTGGTGGGCACAGAGAGTGAGCATTAGAATGAAAACTGGCAATCTTAGGGCACATTTCTCAGACTAGATTTCTAATTATATAAAACATGTGCACTGGACTTGAAGAAACTACATTGAAATGAATTCTTAAGTATTTCAGGGTCAGGTGTAGTGGTCAGCATAAATAATCCTAAATAGCTCTTGGGAAGCAGAGACAGGAAGACCAGAAGCTTAAGGTCATCCTTGCCTACGGAGTGCCTTTGAGGCTAACCTGAACTACAATTAGGCCCTGAAAAACCAAAATGTGGGAGTAGGAGAAAAGAGTTGGTAGCTGAGAATGTTTGCTGCTCACCGGGCATTGGTGGCACATGCCTCTAATCACAGCACTCGAGGGGCAGAGGTAGATAGATCTCTGTGAGTTCGAGGCCAGTCTAGTCTACAAGAGTGAGTACCAGGATAGGCTCCAAAGCTACACAGAGAAACCCTGTCTCGATCCCCCCCAAACAAACAAACAAACAAACAAGGTTTGCTGCTCTTCCAGAGGACCCAGGTTTGCTTCCCAGCACCATGTCAGGCTGCCCACCGGTACCTGAAACTCCAGATCAGAGGATCCAACATCCTCTCTGGCCTCCATGAGCCCCTCACACACATGCACATACACTCATACAGAAACACATAAATTTTAAAACCTTAACAAATATAAACATGTATGCACATATGTATATATACATAAATATTTAAACAAAATTTGAAATAGTAATACATAGGCTTTTTGTTAATATGATCTATAGCAAGATGCAATACCAGAACTGACACCCAAGTATTTCAAAGTAATTGTGGGCCAAAGAAGCATTTTGCAATATCTTCAATAATTCAATGTGATATGAAAATATCTGTAACCTTGTGGTAGATAACACCACAATGACTTTCTTACTAAACGTAGAGAAACTATGAAATCCACCCAGAGTCACTTGTGCCCCAGTGAGACCTACTTAAGCACTGCCCTGTTTTAGAGTGAGCAGAGGGACCAAGGATGGGGAGGGTAATGGAAATGAGATATACCACCCCACTGGAGTTCTAGCTTTTATAATTATGACACTTCTATATGATTTTTGGAAAATATAATTCTGATAAAAATAAAAGCCTATCATTTGGCTGGACTTTTTCCCCCAACCTTGTTGTTTATATATAGATATACAAAAGTTTATGTGTATTTTTACCGTTATATAAAAGTGGGATCATGTTGTATTTAGTTTTGGGAAAAAGTATTTTTGTTGTTAAAATATATTTTAATTATATAAACAGCAAATATATGTATGACCCTCCAAAACATTTTAAATAAGAAGGAAACAGATGGAATTAGAAATTGCAATCCTATTTTACATCTTGTCTGACTCTTCCTCAACTCCCTAAAAGAAGTAACATTAGTATCCACTGACTAGTCTTTCTAGAATATTCACTATGTATTAGAAACAGATATTTCCATGGTTGTTTTGAAGAAGATTTTATTTCAACAGGCAGTGGTAGCATATACCTTTAATCCCAGCACTTGGGAGACAGTGGCAGGCGGATCTCAGTGAATTCAAAGTAACCTCCAGGACAGTCAGGACTGTTACACAGAGAAACCTTGTCTTGAAAAAAACCATTATTTTTTTATTTTTCTTTATATGTATCCACATATGTCTGTATGAGAGTTTGTGCATATGAGTAAGTACCTCTAAAGGCAAGAAGAGGGCATCAGACCCCTTGGAGCTGAAGTTACAGGCACTGTGAGGCACTCAGTGCTGAGAACTGAACTGGGGTCCTCTACAAGAGCAGAAAGAACTCTTAGCTGCTGGGGCATGTCTCCAGCCCCTACAGTTTTGTGTTCTAGGTTTTTGTTTGTTTGTTTGTTTTCTCATATTGTATTATGAAAATCCCTTATTAGTTAAATGTTATCTGAAATCATATTAAATGACTATGTAATATCTGTCACATTCATAAGTCAGTAATGTAAATGCTCAGATTGTGGGGGTAGATGTGTTCAATAGAAATTGGGTGTATGCTAGGCGAGGTGGTGTACACCTTTCAATCTAGCACTCAGGAAGCAGAGATGAGCTATGTGAGTGGAAGACAGCCTGGTCTCCATAGTGAGTTCCAGGACAACCAGGACTACATCGAGAGATCTTGCACCCCCCCAAATAAAACAACAACAACAACAAAACAGGATGTAAACCAAAATTATGAGTCACATACATAATTCAGATTTTGTAGTGGCCACATTTAAAAGAGAAAAAGAAACTAGGCATGCTGGGACACAGCTGTAATCCCAGAACTCAGGAGACTGAGACATAAGTTTGAGGCCAGACTGGACTTCATAGTGAGAAACTGCCTCTATACTAAGTTAAGAGCTGGCTGTGGTGAATACTCCACTAATCGCAGCACTTTGGGAGGCAGTTGGAACTCCTGAACTAATACACGTAACACACTTAGATGAGGGTCAGACACATGCCAAGAGCTCAAGCCACATTGGCTGCTGCCATTCATCCATAACTCTACCACAGACAATAAACTAACTCCCAGTGCTCCACTTAACAAATGGTGCAATGGACACTGGACCAGACTGGGCCGGATTAAGTCAAGGAAAGGAAAGGGGGGAGGTTTTTATCTTGGACTTCTTATTTAGAAGCTCTGACTGTACATGGAGTTGTGTTTACATGTGATAGTCAAATTTCTCTTCATACACAGCAACAGGCAAGGCCAATCCTGACAACACTGAAGTGAGGGTTCACACTGAGCAGATGTGATCTCCCCCCAGCACTTTGTGCCAAAGTGATTTCAAAGAATTCAAATGTCGATTGACATGTAAAACAAGCTATTTAAAATTTAAAAAAAAAGAAAAAGAAAATTATTTTGTACATGGGAAAAAAAAGAATTCAAATGTCACCTGATCTCTAAAGAAAAAGAATAAAGAATCCAGAGGACCAGCTAACATTCTTGTTATGTAACATAGCCAACAGGGAAAGCCTTTAACAGCTTTCAGAAAGCAGGCCTGACCCAAGCCTGGATTCCACGATCTGGCACAAAGGGTCTGAGCAGTGCAAAGCCGTGATTCAGAGACACACAGCAGCCGGCACACCCTGCGCTGCCAGGCCATACCTGAAGTACTTGCCACTCAGGGGCTCCAGGCCCTCCGCCAGAGCACAGTGCAGACTGGTCTGAGCTCCCTGCCGGGTGGACTTGAAGAAGGGTGAGAAAAGCCTCCACAGCAAACATAGCAGGAAGGAGTGCCGGACGATCTCAGACATGACGATACCTGGGTGTACCACATAGGCAGTGACCCCCGTTCCTAGGACAAAGAGAACACAGTAAGACCAAGGACACTCTGAGCCCTGCAGCAAAACACCCAAATGAAAAGGAGAGACTTGGGAAACCCTTAGGGTTCAAAAGGTTCTACTTACTCTGCCCAGTAATGAGTTGATCACTTCAAGAAAGATCTGTATAGCCTTCTCAGCTTTCTATGCTCCAAAAGAAGAGTCTTATTTCAATGTTACAGACTACTACTAAAAACATGTGGGAAATAGTAGCATTAATCATTACTAGCAGTGTCCTTGCCATTTCTATGGACAGAGCTGTTTGAAAGGTTGGGGGTAGAGGCTATTTGGGCAAAGCACATTTATGAGGTGTGGATGGAGGGGTGATGGAGGGAATTATGGGACATTAAGATGCCCCCAACACGACTTCTGCATCACCTCATTTTCAATGCTTTTATATGTGCAAGGGCTGCACTGTGCACTTTACCTGTGCTGTTTAATTTCTTTTTAGTTTTTGTTTGTTTGTTTGTTTATACAACTTACTGAAGGAAAATGAATCAGTTACTAGCAGAGTTATCATTGGATCAATCAGCCACTAATGGCTTGAATCAGTTATTCGGTGAGATATTAAACTATATGCTGGAAGATGGTCTAACTAATAACTCCAAGTCTCCTGGTGATTTAAATGAAAACTACAAAAAATCTTGAGATTCTAATTTGGAATGCAAAGGGCGTTTGATTTTCAATTTCTACCCTGTAAAGAGCAGGCCATTCTTCTACTGACTCATGTAACATATCACATTTTCACTTCTGATGATGCTATAAATTCAATACTGACTCTCCAGTCAGATCAGTTATGTACATAAAGTATGTCTCTAACAGCGGACACCTTAACAAGAACAGATGAAGCTAGAATATTGTTCCTTCCTTTGATGTGACAGCAGAGTGTCTCTCACACCCAAGTTAAAGTGGAGATACTGGCCACATAATACATATGTTCTATTCTTTAAAAAGGCTCATAAATCTTGCACAATGTGTAACTATCTTAGAAAGTAGTTATTGTCCAATGTTGGAAGAAAATAAAATAAAGGTGAGGTCTGACAGGGGAGCAGCTGGAAAAGAAAATCAACACAGGAACAGCGATTTAGACTTCATCCCAACTACAATGCAGGTTCTTCAGAGTTCAAGGCAACATTGCCTGGCACTCTTCTAGGGTCTGTTACTGGGATGTGCTCCTAGCTGCAGCACTGTTTGGTAGATTTATGTGGTCTCTGGCACAAGGGAGATAGGCAAGTTCGGATCACTTAGCCATGGACAAAACAGATAAGGTAACTTAGGAAATAATTCAAGCAGGAGACTGCAGTAATCTCAGAATATTGAGACAAATGATGTCATTACTGTTAATATTTGGATGATAAAGCTAGTTGTAAATGAAGCCTTGACTGGTTGAGAAGGGTAGCCCTGTGGGGAAATAAATTGTCAAAAAGAATACCCTGACTTGGTATGAACTGTCATCAGGATCCTTAATTGTGGCATGTCAAAGAAATACTATCCACAACTGATCTGCAGAACATTGTGGGGGAGAGTTAGGAGCCAAGCGCCTTATTAGTCCATTTCAGTGCAGAGCCTGTGCTTCTCACCTGGCTCCTCACTACCTCAGACCATCTCCAAAGGCCTGGCCAAAACGCTTGATCATCTGATGATGGGAGGTTGTCACTTGTTCTCACACCAGCTCTGCCCAGCAGAGGTGTCACACCAAGGTCAGGCAATGCTGTGCTGCCTTTCTCCTTCTCCTTTTTAGAACAGGTCTTCTTACTCAACTAATCAGAGGCAGGGGGACTTGAAGAGCAGGGGACGGAGGCTGGTCATGCCTTAGTTCTTAAAAGAGGCTTATGCTGTCGGTAACATTAAGATTCCATGTGCAGCAAAAGAAAATGAGACACAAAGCAGCTAAATAAATTGCCCAAGGTCCTATCTAGTAGGCTGCAGACCAAGGTCTGTGCCCCACAGGGCGTAAAGAGTGTGAATCCCTTGCTAGATTCTTGGTGAGGACTGTTTCAGCTAGGAAATATACTTGAACAAATTCCTCAATACAGCCATGCCTTTCTCTTCATTTGTAGATGGAGGAAAATAAAAATGCTTATGTCATAAGAACATTTGGGGGCTTATTCAGTGTCTGGTACACAAAAGTCCCTGTTATTACTATTTATCGTCATGATTATCCTATCTTTCTGCTACAGACCAATCTTCCTAAATTCTGAATGATTCACAATAGCAAAATGTCCCCTAGACTCAGAGACATCAGAGCCCACAGACTATCTAGACCCCAGGGAAGAGCAGAATTATTAAGGATTATGGCCTCATTTCATAGTGAGGAGGTCGTCGGGAAAGTTCAAGGAACATGTCTACACATACAGAAGCACAGTATGTGGGCGGGCAAGAACTCAAGCCCAGGAGCCTGGAATCCATCCCTGTTTCTCTGATGGAAGGCAAAGACCCCTTTGGAGCTCAGGGAAAGGTACTCGGGGAAAGGTACACAGGAGGAGGGCTCCAATTCTGGCTCCTTTACAAACTACAGAAGTAGGGGCTGGAGAGATGGCTCAGAGGATAAGAGCACTGCCTGCTCTTCCAGAGGTCCTGAGTTCAATTCCCAGCAACCACATGGTGGCTCACAACCATCTGTAATGAGATTTGGTGCCCAATTCTGGCCTGCAGGTATGCAGACATATGCTATATACATAATAAAAAAAATAAATAAATGTTAAAAAAAATGATATTTAAAAAAAAAAACAAACTACAGAAGTAATCCCTGAGGTATAGTCTGATGACTCCATTTGTCATATGATCTTGAGCTAACCATTTCTAGGGATTTCAGCTCTGACCTACAAAATAGAAATAATAACGCCCACTCCGGTTGTTACAAAGGGTTGAACGAAATAATAGGAGGCAAAAAGGCAACAAATATAAAGCAACTCTACAGAGTTCCAGCGTCTCTTCACTTCTGGTGGGACAGTGACTCCATTCTGCTAGTAACCTCCTTCTCAGCGCCTCAAATTCCTTCTTGTATGTACATTGTACTGGTAAATTTTTATGTTCTGTTTGAGCTCACCAAGAATCCAACTCTGGAGACAGGGTTGCCCCCCTTCAGACTCAAGCATATTTATGTCAAATGTCTTCCAACCCACCACCCCAACTTTTCTTAGGTCAGGATGGCCCCTGGCTCTGTAATGGGAAGAGGGAAAAGTGACAAGCAGCTAAGAGTGTTAAAAATGTGCTCTTGAGGACAGCTAGATGACAAACTGTTTCCAGACAAGGTTACTATTGTCTATCCTGTAACATTAAAATGCCTGGAATAGGAACAGGGAGTCAAAGTCAGCTACAGGAAGCTCACCCATGGAGAAGAAGCTCAACAAGGCATTCCAACTGACTGCTTCAACTTCAATAGTTGCTTTCTGCTTTGATAATGTTATGTTTATTTGAAGCTATTTGTTCTTTTACTTGAAATCAATTTTATGCTCTATCAGTATTCTCAACTGACTGCCGCACTGGGGTTTCCTCAGTTAATTTCCACTCGATGTCTGCAAGCCCCTGATGAGGTGACATCACCTTTTATTTGCTCTCTCAATTGGGTGGCTCCAGCTGTCTCTGATAGATGTTGTTAGTGCCCAATCCGATGTTTTAGTAATTACCCATTGCTTCTGTTACCACTATTCATTCTTCTACTGTTTTGTAGATATTTAATAAACTCACTTATTCAAAACAAAAAACACAGCTATCATAGATCATTCTCTGAACCATACAGAATACCACTAAAATGTGTACATTCAACAGCCTGGTTCCAGAAGTTTCTATGAACCTATAAGCTGGACCAAGGATCATGTTTTTATAATTTAAATAATAAAATACTTTATTATTTCTCCACACGTACCTTGGAGCCGCTTGGCCAGCTCTCGAGTGAAAAGCACATTGGCCAGCTTGCTGTGGCAATAGGCAAAACCACGGCAGTATCGTTTCTCCCCTTGGAGGTCATGGAAACGGATCTTGCCACCAAGGTGGGCCACTGAGGATAGGTTTACCACCCGTGCAGGTGCGGACTCCTTCAGCCTCCCCAAAAGCAGGTATGTAAGAAGAAAATGGCCTACAAAGAAATCCAAAAGGAAAACTCAAGGATAGAATGGCTCTTGGCTTGGGGTATGGAAACCCATGACAGGACTTCCATATTAGCTCACTGTCTTCTGAGTGTGAATAAAGTTTGATACCATGAGTCACTCCAAGCGAAATGGTCACTTGCTCTAGGTTAGTTGATTATCCAAAGTAAAGGTCAAAGCTATATGGCAGTAATGATATTTAATCTAGATTTTTGTACTTATTGTTTACATACCCACCTGCTATTCTCCAATTTCTCTGTATAACTATGGATCCTCATTTACTCATACAGAAAGAAAGCTATAGTAGTCAGGAAAAAGGACACTTGCCTAGAACCCAGGGATATGACACATGCTCCCCTGACTAGAACCTTAATCTTAAACTCTGAACACCAATCTATCTTGTATGTCAACTTTTCAAGGTTCACTCACCCACACACACCAGCACAAGGCTTCCTTTGGTTCTCATATGGATGTTACTTCCCCTGTCAAATCCAGATTCCTAAATACCCACAGGCTGGCACTGTCCAGCAAGCCCTGCATTGCCACTAGACCATCCAAGGATGATATTTTTCTCCCTAGTATCTTCTGAGATGGGGGCTTCTGAATAGAAACACAGTCACATTTTTTGACTGCTTAGAAAAGGGCAAACAAGCAATGTGCCCTATGTAGAGGAATCCCAGGCTCTGTGAGGATCAGTGGAGATCCTGAGCATGTGCGGGGGTCCTCTTCCTACAGAGAACAAGGTGAGATAAATGCACGTTTTAGCCACACAAAGATACTTACCCAGGTGGTTGACTCCCAAGTGGGTTTCAAAGCCGTCTGTTGTCTTAGAATATGGACACATCATCACTCCTGCATTGTTGATCAAAATGTGGAGCCTCTTTTCCTCTGTTGAGTACAATCAGGGAGATCCTGTGACTAGCAATGCGCCTTCTAGCCACCTGTCACTGTCTCAAGTGTTTGCTCCCAGCTTTCACCTCTAAACACAATAAGCTTGGCAAGGTTATCACTTGTCTTTCTCCTGTCTTCTAAGATAAGATGTTGCCTCAGAAGTCAATTAACTATTCCCCATTTGGATCCATCTGTATAGAATCATCATTGTCATTGGGTTTCTGATTTTACTTGCTGATAACCTTCCTGGACACCATTTGTTCATTTATATGACCAATGTGTACTAACCACCAACTCTGGACCAGACACACATTGATGGGCCCTGGGAAGGCATGGTAAAACAAGGCACACCCAGACCTTGTCCCTCAAGGGCCTGTAGCCCTTGCCAGATGGTGGCAATTTCCCAAGACACAGGAACATTTTGACAATGGCACAAACTCATCTAGTTCCTGTAACCACAGAAGGTTGATTTTCTGGATGAAAGAAAAGAGCAGCATCGGGGCCACACCTCATGCCATGGTACAAGCTCAGACATGGAGATGAAACCTCCAAGATTCCCACTGTGGAGCAAAACATTGATAAAGATCCTGTCCATCTTGTCTCCCTGCCATCCCTTTGCCAGTTCTGTGTCCTGCTGGTTCATGTGGCTGAACCTGTCCAGTATGATGCAAGGGCCATATATGGTCCTGGGTGGGGCAGCCATTCCTCCACTTAGTTCCCTGCCTTTCTGGCTACTCACTGGAACCTTACCTGCCAGGAAGCCCTCAGCAAAGTCTCGGATGGATTTGGTGTCAGATAGGTCCAGTTTCCGCACCAGCACCTGGGAATTCTTGGTATCTGCTCGGATTTCACTAGCAGCAGACTCTCCCTTCAGCACATCTCGACAGGCAATGTACACTCGTGCTCCTTGAGCCAAAATAGAAAGGGCAATGTGTGCAGAGGTACAGGAAGTGAGCTTGCAGCTAATGGGTAGAGCACACTCAGAGCTGTCCCTATGGTAGTGGAGTGGCCATCCTGCCACTTCCGGGTCCTCACAGTGGAGAACCCTCATTTTACACTCTAATATTTAATTCTGCTTAGCATCTACCTTAAAATATAGAACTTGACCAATATTACACAGAGACAACAGTCTCCTTACTCCCCAAAGGAGGGAAGGCACAGGAAGGGAGGGAGGTATGTTGAAAGCCAGACTAAATCAGTGTCACACTGGACTTGGGTCCTGGTTTCCTTGAATCCCCATCAGAGCCTCCAAGCCTAGGAAGAAAGACAAGGAAATCCCCAGTGAAGAGGGCAGGAGGTATGGCCCTGGGGAGACAGAGAAAACACTCACCTCTTCGAGCAAGCTCTCTGGCCGTCTCCTTGCCAATGCCTGTGTTGGCACCTGTGATAACCACTACCTTCCCAGGAATCTGCACACTCGTTGTACAAACTCCACCAGCAAAGAACTTCCTGTCACCAAAGGGATGAAAATCAGACACCATTTCCCCAATCTCATGCTGAGATGCATAAAACAAGGCCACGGAACTCCAAAGAGGGAGGGTTTTTAATTCGAGTCACAAAATGTTATCATCTTAAGAAGTTAATTTGAGCTGGCAGAGGTGGGTGGTACACACTTTTAATCCCACATTTGGGAGGCAGAGGCAGGTGGATTTCTGTGAGTTCCAGGACAGCATGATCTATGGAGTTCCAGAACAGCCAAGATTACACAGAGAAACCCTGTTTTGAAAAACAAACAAGCAAAAAAAAAAAAGTTAATTTGCATGGGCCACTGTTTGATTGGGCAAGGTAGAGGCCAGCCCATGGGCATAGATGGGAAGGTCGTGTGTCCAGAAGCAGATAATAATCACTGGAACAAGCAGAGAAAATGCTCCTGAGCCAGGGCCAATGAAGGTATCCTTTGTCCGGTAATGAATATTTCGATCTAATCTCTAGATTCCCATAGGTCAGCTTCCTCCTCTGACCCACATTGGAAACACATGGGTGATGAACACTATTGGATTCAATAGCCCTGAGCCCTATGGCTCCAATAGTCACCATAGGAACTGGCGAACAGCATATGGGCTGACACATGTAAGTATCAACCCTCAGTTGTCTCTTCAGTTTTAGAGAGTAGAGCATCCAGAGAGACTTTTCTTTCTTTTTCCTGCCATTGTGTTAGGGGTTTTAATTAGGCCATTGACATACAGAGAAAACTTTCTTGTTGAAAACAAGACCAGAGAGGCTAGAACACTTCCTGAACATCACTGACTGACAGACACTGAGCTAGACACTTTCTATACACTGTCTTTTCTAGGCCAGACACTCTCTACCCTCACTGTCCACCCTGGCTTAGACTTTCTACACTCAATGTGTATCCCATGTTAGACACTTTCTATACTCACTGTTTATCCCAGGCTTGACTGTCAACAGAATATCTATCGCAGGCCAGACACTTTCTACACTCACTGGCTACCCCAGGGTAGACTGTTTCTACACTCACTGTCATTCCCAAGGTAGATACCCGCCCTACATACTATCTTTCCATATGTAATTTATATTAACCTCCCCAGCCATTTCAATATTATTTCTATATTACAAAGGAGAAAACGGAAGCCCAAAAATGTTCAAGTCATTTCTGAAAGTGGCCAGGATGGAGTATAACACTCTGACACTCTGTCCCTAGTATGTCTATCTAACCTTCTTTTAGGGGTGAGTATTCAAGACAGGGTCTCTCTATTTAGCCCTTACTGTCCTGGAACTCACTCTGTAGACCAACCTGGCCTTGAACAGAGATCTGTCCGACCGCCTCTAGAGTGCTGAGATTAAAGGCAAGTACAACCACGCCTGGCTTCTATGGAACCGACTTAATCATTAGCAAATTTTTAATTCTCCACTCAGAATAGCCCTTTCTTTGGCACCTCCAGAGTTTCCCAGCGAACAGGCCATTTCCAAGACATTTATTGAGAGAAGTATCAAGAGAAGGGAGTTTGTTTCCTTCCCAGAGTGCCTACTGCTCAACAATGACCACCCCTACGCCCCCCACTCGTCCCCCACCTTACCTAGGGTCAGAAGAGAAAGGCAAAGTGTCAGAGAAATCTAAAGGGATCAAGGGGAAGATGCAGGACAGCCAACCCCTCAGCCTTCTCATAGCATGAGAACTCAAGCCAGCCCCTCCTCCACCCACCCAGGTGCTTCCTTCTCATTCCCACGGCGGCAGCGGCATCCACAACCCCTCCTTCCCTGCTTTTACTGCACTAACCTCTCCTTTGCCGCCGTCCCTGAGTCTCCTTTAGCAGTCGCAGCCAGTTACCGCTGCAGGGCTTTTTAAACAATGTTGAGTCCCTGGATAAGACAAACCTGATGGATGGAGCTGTCAGGTACAAGATCGAGAGGAAAGACGTGAACAGTCCCAAGATAGCTAGCATCTTGTCAATCTCCTTGGTTGCTGGGCCTCCGACTTCCACACTCAGCCTGACCTCGGTATCCTTCTCTGGCTCCAACTCTTGGCAGTTTCTGCTGACTCTCGCTCTAGGGCAACAGGTTGGCTTAAATGGAGCCCAGAATCTTATTTAAATCCGAGAGCCCTCAGAGCACAGCCTCCTGGGAGATGTAGTCCTGGAGGGGTGGGGCTTAAGAGAGGATTTTACTGGTGCAGAGAATCTGGCGATACTGAAGTTCACCCAACCACCGTATCTTCAAGATAGAATATGCTTAATTCTATCAGCAGATTTCATAAAAGCCACACATAGTAACACACGTTTATAATCCAAGTTTTTTGGGAGGGTGAAGCAGGATGATTACTTCAGCCTACAAATTCAAGACCAGCCTAAACAATATAACAATACCCTATGTCTAAAGAAAAAAAAAAAAAAAAAGCAAGCATGCAGACAAACAAAAAATCCAAAACCTAACGATGCATTAAATATGTGTGATTTAAAATAGAAGAGTGAGGGCCAGGGAGAAGGCTTAGTGGGTAAAAAGCACTTTCCAAGCAAGCCTGTCCACCCGAGTTCAAGCCCTCAAACCCGTGTAGAAGCCAGATGTGGTGGCTCGGGACCGAAGAGGTGGCTCCCAACAGTAATCCCTAAGGCAGAACGAATGCTGGCAGCTGGGGGAGGGGAGAGGGCGGACCGGACAGACGACTAGAGGAACTGAAAGTGCAGCAGAATCAAGATTTGCTGAGCCTCAAAGAGAAGGCAGAAGGACAAGGCTGACTCCCGAGAATTCGTCCTCTGATTTCCGTATGCATGTATTCACAAAACCCCAAATATATAAAGAGGCCAGGGAAAATGGCTCAGCAGATATCAACAAAAACAAGCAGGTTTGATGACCTGAGTTTGGTTCCTGAACGTCCCAAACCTTCCACACGCATGCCGTGGCATTTGCATTCCTGCACTCACATGCATACACAATTAAATAAGCAAACGTTAAAAATGAACACACTGAAGAGACAGGATGAAGAGGAGGTGGCTGAAGGTCCTGTGGGGCTGCTCGAGTTCGAGTCTTGGATCTGTGTCACAGTACATAGGTGTGCTTGCTGTGAAAATTCATCGAGTCAGACCCTTGTGACTTGGGCAATTTGTGTGCACGCTTCAACGATGCTGACACACCCAACGACATGTCAAGGGAAGGGGATAGTGTTGAAGTACTTTTGAGCTAGACTGCCTAGCTCAAATCCCAGGTTACCATCCTCTAAGTTCTATGGTCCCAGGTAAGTTAGGAAGCCTCTCTGTCAGTTTACTCTCTTATCCAATGGAGTGATACTCACTCGCAAGCCTCAGCCCCCTCCCCTCTGGTGACTCACAGTTCAGCCAGACTCGGGACATGACACAGCAGTGGGGCCTGCAAAGCCCATGCTCCGTAAAACAGCTGGGGAGCTGCACTCTGATTTGACCTTTGCTGGGAATTTGTCAAGTGAAGTCACTGCTGTAGCTGATGTTATCTCTGTCCTGGATATTCTGTAAGAACAGAAGCCGCAGGAACACAGCAAGTGCCTCTTCCTCTTCTTCCATCCCTCCTTTCCCCCCTCCCCATCCTTAAGTTATAGATTCAGGAATCCAGGTGAGAAGAGTGGAAGCCTAGAACCTCCGCCAACAGTTTCCCTAAAATACCCTTCGTACAATAATAAGCCCATTTCTAGTCATGAGCAGTCTTCTGCCTCTGCCAGTGTCTGTACCCAAAATTATACCAAAATGGAAGTGTGGGTTTTTCTTTTTCGGGGAAAGGTTGTTTGTTTGAGTCACGGCCTTTCCATATAACCCTGGCTGGCCTGGCTCTGGTCCACTATGCAGACCAGGCTGGATTCAAACTCACAGAGATCTGCCTGCCTCTGCCTCCCAAGTGCTGGGATTAAATGTGTGTGCTACCATACCTGTGTGTATTTGTTTTATTCAATAATGAATTATTGTTCCTCCTTTTTTAATTTTTTAAAGTCATGTGTATGGAAGAGGATATAGCTGATGAATGCAGGTGCCCACCATGGTAGACTTCAAACCTCTCTGGAACAGGAGTAATGTGTGGTTATGAACCACCCAGTGTGGGTGTTGGGAGTTAAGCTACGGTCTTCTGTAAGAGCAGTGCATGCTCTCAACCATTGAGCCATCTCTCCAGACTCTCTTCTTGATCCTAAGAGGTAAAATAACACATCACCTTTCTGAAACTGCTGTGAGTGCTAACTACCATTGACTTTCCCCTATAGATGATAACCCCTGCCTTTAATCTATAGCAGATACTAGTGCCCCGTGGGGTTGTAAAATGGTGAAGGACTGTTCTGTGCAGTGGAGAGTGTTTAACATGATGCCTGAACTCCATTCTATAAAATGCGCATGCACCAACCTTGTGTCAACCAAAACTGTCTACTTAATACAAATGCAATAATATTTTCTGATATTTGTGGCAACTGTTAGTTGAAATGGCTCACTGGGTAAAGGTACCTGCCACTGAGTTTGATGGCGTGAGCATAATCCCTGAGACTCATGATGGATCTATGCACTGGTCAAAATGGAAAATATATACTTAAAACTTTTATATTTCACATACATAAATTTTACATAAAAATTAAAAATTAAATAAAATATTGAGTTATAGTTAATGATATAGATGCTGAAGTTTTTAGAGTAAATTGATGCCTTCAATTTACTTTGGGAAATTTAGTCAATATTAGGACTGGAGAGATAGTTCAGCAGGTAAGAGAACTTACTTCAGGGGACCCAGGTTCAGTTCCCAATCCCAACATGGTGGCTCACAATGGTCTGTAACTTTATTCTAGGGGATTCGATGACCTCTTCTGGCCTCCCTGGATATGCACATGGTACACATACATACATGTAGATGAAACACTTATACACATAAAATAAACATAAATAAAATATTTTAAATGTCAGTAGTATATTACAAATATAAAAACTAACAGTTTCCACAAATATCAGAAAATATTATTACATATTTATTAAGTAGATTAAATGCATTAATAAAATATCATGAATTGAAGAACAGAGGGTAGTAAAACTAATGTTTTACTGTATCTATTTTAAATTCTCAAATTATACTTATTTGAAAGAAAGAGACAGCAAAAAGAAAACATTTCTGCAAGACATCTGCCTGGGAATAGCTCATCCAACCTCAGACTTGCTTCACCCTTACAATAGTTACTATAGTCATAAATTGTTCTTTCAAAATATCTTAGGTAATTTTCATTTCACTTCCAAAAAACACACCCTCACCTCCCTGAATACGTTGACAGTTTATTGCAGCATGAGTACTTCACTATAATGTTATCTAATCCTAAATAAGCTTACTCAGTCTTAGAGAATTTTTCTCTGGTTATTAGGGTCACACAATTTTGTGAGTTCTAAAAGAAGTTGGTCCCAACAGAAGAAGATAGCAAGCCAGGGATCGTGGCCTATGTCTACAGCTTCAGTTACTCAGAAGGCTGCACGGGGAATTCAAAGCCAACCTGGACATCATAGACATCTTAGTTAGGGTTTCTATTGCTGTGAAGAGACACCATGACCACAGCAGCTCTTATAAAGGAAAACATGTAATTGAGGTGGCCTACATTTTCAGAAGTTTAGTCCATTATCATCATGGTGAAACATGGTCTCATGCAAGCAGACATGGTGCTGGAGAAGTAGCCCAGTGTCCTACGTCTCACAGGCAACAGGAAATGGTCTGAGGCAGTGGGCTGCATTTGAGCATATATGAGTCCTCAAAGCCTGCCTCCACAGTGACACACTTCCTGCAATAAGACCATACCTATTAAAAGGCCACACCTCCTAATAGTGCCACTCCCTTTGGGTGCCATTTTCTTTCAAACCACCACAATAGACTTCAGAGAGGTGAGTGATGAAGCTACTCCTACAGCGGTTAATCGGAAAGCAGACAACTGAGCACTGGATTTGGAATGGGATATGGAGTGAAAAGGATGATACCCAGGAGATGGAGGTTAGCTCAGTTGGCAGAAGGCTAGCTTGGCACACACAAGGCCCTAAGTTTGATCCCTAGGACTGCAGAACTAGGGAAAAGAGAAGGAAGGAAAGAAGGAAAAGAAAGAAACTGTGGCGATTGGCTCAGAGGTGGCAAGGCTGTCAAAAACTCCTGGCCACCCGAGTGTCCACAGATCTCAGTCAAGCCCTTAGGCACCATACCTCACTAACTACTTTAAAGCGATGACCTACAGGCTTGCCTGCAGGTCAGTCTTGTGGAGGCATTTTCTTAACTAAAATTCGCTACTCTCAGACAACTTTAGCTTGTGTCAAGTTGACATTAATCTATCTGGCACAGCCTTCATCAGTTTGGAGTCTGTGGAGCACTTTCATGATTGGCAGTTGGTGTGGGAGGACCTAACCCACTGTGCGGTGCCACCTCTGGGCAGGTGGTCTGAGAGGTATAAAAAAGCAAGCTGAGTGAGTAAGGGAGCAAGCCAGTCTGCAATGGTCCCTCATGGTTCTTTTTCTCATCCTTTGCTGTGTGCTTGGATGAGCGCTTTTAATAATTATTATTGTATAAATAGGATTTTCTGTAGAGAAACTGAAAACATATATTCAGCCTTTCCTGCATCTCGGCGGATCAGATTTGTTTTGTAAAACATCTTACTTTGAAATGTTACAGAAATGTTGGAGGGAAGCCATACAGAGCATTTCTGAACACCTTTCCCTTAGCTCCACTATTCTGACCATCATAAACCTCAGCCAGTCGTCAGTCCAGGAAAATTCCCCATTACTTTGCTTTTTTTGTTTTGTTTTGTTTTTGTTTTTCAAGGCAGGGTTTCTCTATCTCCCTGACTGTCCTAGAACTCACTCCCCCAGGCTGGATTTGAACTCAAGAGATCTGCCCACCTGTGCCTCCTGAGTGCTGAGGTTAAAGGCATGCTCCACCATGCCCAACCACTCAGCTTTTTCTTTCTTTTTTTTTTTTTTTACTTTAAGCAGTCAGCTTCCTTGAGACAATACTACTAACCCTTCCCTTTCCCAAATGGGCTATTGCATAGACAATAAGGCTGTTTGCACTCCTTAGAGAAACTGCTCTCTAGCTCTTGAATGCCTTTTCACAAAGAAATTGTAACAAGACAAAAATCTGTACTGTTTCATGGCCACTGTGC